TAGTAACAATATTTTTATACTACATTTATCCATTTTAAATGTACTAACCTCACTCATTTGTTACAACTAAACCATAAATGTAATTAACTCCTAAAATCTTTTCAGGACCCCACCTTAATGTTTCGGGACCCCACTTTGGGTCCCGACCCCAACTTTGGGAAACACTGGTATAAAGTACCTCAAAGTGATACTTGAGTAAAAGTACAAGTATCTTATCATAAAAATACTTTGGTAAAAGTTAAAGTCTTCTCTAAAAATCTGACTTGAGTAAAAGTCTTAAAGTATCTGATAAATTTTGTACTTAAGCATCAAAAGTAAATTTCTGACACAAAATCTACTTAAGTATTAAAAGTAAAAGTACTGAGTAAAAGTAGATTTTCCAAAATGACATTTATTGGGAGGTGACTTCTCCAAAACGGMGTGCAGCTGTTGTGTACAAGCTAATAGTGTGTCAGAATTTTATATATTTATACTTCTCATCCAACCACAATTAAATTCACTTTATCCAGGAGACACACTTTATCAGGATAGTATTTTTTAAAGTAATAACAACTCAGAATAAAATAGAAGTAACGACTTTCTACTTCTTACCTTTTTTTAAAATGTAGTGAGTAGAAAGTACAGATAATTGTGTAAAAATGTAATGAGTAAAAGTAAAAAGTACGCTGAAAAATAATTACTCAAGTAAAGTACAGATAACCAAAATTTCTACTTAAGTACAGTAACAAAGTGTTTGTATTAGTGACTTTACAACTCTGCCAATAGGCCTACTGCCGTTAATATTAAGCATTAACAAATTAATATAATCTAATATATTCTGTGATTAGACATTTAAATTTTTAAATKACTTTATGTAAATGTGGTTGTTAGTCCATTACAAGTGAGTGAAGGAAGCACAGTGCGTATTTCTCATGCTGATGTGCATTAGCTCCCATGCTGAACTTGGCGTGAGCATGACATGAGAAAGACGTGTTGGTGAAGAAATGAGGTGACGGTCAGTGAGCAGCAGCACAAGAGCTCTGCAGATGAGATGTTTGCTTTGAGAGTGTTGATGGAGATGTAAAATGAGAATTTGCACCACTTGAGTGGATCTTGAGAAAACAAATGAAACCATGCCGAGAGGGGAATTTTGGTACTGGATGAGGAAGTCAGGTTTAATCATTTTTGTTCTAAAATGAAATCATTTTGTTCACGATTCATTCTTTGGTTTGCAAATTTCACATTTTTGAAATAAAAATTTTCTAATGTTTTTAATCCTCGTGCTTCAAATTGAGCTAGTGCATAAAGCTGATTTAAAGCTGAGTCAATGCAAACACATTAAAGTCATTGTTATAAAACATTTTTTTTCATTTATGCGATAGAGATATTAATTTTGTGTTTATTGACAACAGATCAGGTGAAAAACAAAGAGCTCAGCATCTGTCTGCCCAGRGACACTTTTAGCAAGGAATCAAACCACCAACTTGTTTGCTGCACCACAGCTGCCACACACAGAACAAATGAGAGGGAGTCAGGCAGCACTGAAGCTGCGTGAAGCACAGGTTCTGTGGAGGCAGGTGAGTCTTCCAAAGAAAGCAACAGGTAAAACACAGGAGTTGAAGAAGGGAGTCTGGGTAGGGGTGATGTGTGACTGGTTTGGAGACTGCAACAAGACAGAGGATAAACTAGAGGTGACAGAGATGAAGACGTTAAGATTTTTATTGGGACCAGAATGAACAGAATTAGAGACGATTGTGTCAGAGGGACAGGGGGCTCAGCTTGGCTTGGAGGGGCTTTAAGGAAAACAGGTTGGGAAACATCATCTTAAAGGACATCATGATTATTTGAACCCAAGAGGCAGTCTAAAACTACAGAAGACTTCAGGAGCTAACAAGAAAAGTAATTTRCTTGCAAAAATAAAATAAAAGCTGACGTGGCAGCAAAWTTCTWACAACCCTTTTGACACAGCGGGGTGGAACACGTACGGGTTACTGTCCAGATAACAAACTCACAACAGGACACCAAATATAGGGAGAAATGACAAACACCTGGGTGAGAGACAACAGCAACGTGTGAGAGTGGGCGGGGCAGGAGCTGACAGAGGAGACACTGAAAACAAATTAGAATTAGAACGTAGGGATATTAATGTCACAGAGATAAAACTGCCAACAGGACATAAAACATGAAAGAAATCAAACTAAAAGATAAATAAGGACAGAAAAACACACTGTCAGGACAAAGTCAATATGAAATATTATAACATTTTCCCCAATTAGCTCTATCATAATGTAAAAAAACTGTAATCTTAGAAAAATAAAATCCAAGAATTCTGCTTGTTTCGAAGCCAAACTTTCTAAACACCAAGCTTTGTGAACTATAATGAATAACTGAGCTGTACTGAAGAGCAGATTAAGGTTAAGGTATTAAAAAAAGAAGAAATCAGCAGCAGAAATGTTATGGCTTAATGAGGTGTAAGAGCTAAAATTATTATTTTTTTACTTTCATGTGCAAATGAGCGTTCAGATGAAACGTGCATTGTTTGTTGTGTTAATGACCTTCAAAACAAACAGAGTGCAGTCTTCTGAAAGACGATGGTAATTAAAGTTTTATGGAAGTTCTTTTAATCCTTCGTCGGTTCAACGCRCTAATATTTTTCTTTTTCGCAGGAGAAGAATGTACAAAAACACAGAAAGGTGAGGCTGTTCATTCTTAAAGTAGGTTAAACACGTCTGAAGAGCATTTAGAAACAGTTATTTAATTCAGTTAAACTGGTTAAAGGTTGGGGG